AAGGGACTAAAATAGGGTTTTAACCATTTTCTTATTAAGAAGACAAATTTAGTGTCTAACTCATCACTACAAAGTTGGTTTATAATATAAAGTATTCTCCCTCACTTGTACATACTATTATAGAAATATCACTAGTTGATGTGTGATCTTTGATACATTTCCTCATATCAAGGACTAGATATCTTAAGTATGAAATTTATAGGATAATACATTTATGAATAAATCTGATAATGACTCGATAGTGGATGTCACGATAAGCCTATTAACAATCAATAATTGCTAGAATAGACTCTAATATCATATTAAGAGAGTGTTATATGAAGTCTGAATTAACGTTGTACTGAAGAATGTTGAAGGGGTAAAACACCATTTGAGTTTCTGAAATAGTATGTTGTTGACACTTTGAACCTTGAAAGTACAAAAGTTCCACAAAAAAAAAAGTTCTTGAAAGTGTAAAACATTATTCACTTTAATTCAAGATTCAAAAAAGCATGTGACTTAAATGATAATATATTAGTGTATATTTAGGGATTAAAAATGACAATTAGTGATCACCTTTAGGAACTTAAATGAAATAACTAGAACTTTAAGTGTCTTCTTATGAATTTCCTTGCTTTTTGGAATCAAAGTGTCAATGGCATGCATTTTCAGAAACATTTATGGTGTTTAAATTGATGTTAGAAACAAAATGTTAAACCCCTAGTTTGGTCCTAAAAGTGTGTGGTAGTTATAATTTAGACCCTTTTAAGATGATAAACTTAAAAAAGTCCTTGAAAGTTACTTCCATATTTAAGATGGTCATTGAGTGGATGGTCGATAGTTGATGTTATTAATGGAGTTGACGGTGCACATTAAGTGTCACACCAACAAGCAATGTTTGTCCCACTTGGCATGGCACATCCTTAGGAGCAATTTGAAGTGTTGTCACATCCTAGGAAATAAATTGAAAAAATTGACTCCTGATAAGACCAAATTGAATAATTATGTTCAAATGATATTTTTAATTTATGGATAAGATACCATTTAGGTCTCTAAAAATGTATGTCGTTAATACTTTGATCCTTGAAAGTATAAAAATAAAAATAAAATCTTAAAAATATAAAATGTTACTTATTTTATTCCAAATTTAGAAAAAACACGTGATTTAAATGATAATATTAATGTATATTTAGAAATTTAAATAACAATAAGTAGTTACTTTTGGAGATTTAAATGAAACTAGAACTTTCATACTTATTCAAATTTTTCTTATTTTCAAGGACTAAATTGTCAGCAATGTACAATTTCAAAAACTCAAATAGTATTTTACCCTTCTTCTTATACCTTTTATAAATGCTTAGAAACTTTGAAATTGATTTGTGCACTAATTCAATTAAATTTATCTTGGTCACTAAAAGTTAATCATAACTTTCATATTTGTCTTTATCCAGTAACAATCAACATACACATTTCAAAGTCGATGGTTGACTAGGAGATTAGCTCGACTCGACAAGTATAATGAAACTAGCAGTTGGATTTAGGCATAAGATCCTTTGTATCGAAAGTCTTCCTAATAGTGAGTCCATGTATATAAGAGAGTCTTCCTAATAACTTGGAGGTTAGGAAACATGCCCCGCTACTATGAGTTCATGATGGAGCAGCAATGCAAGTACTTAGAGTGTGACAGAACTCTATGGGTTGATATACTTGTGGACTGATAGTTTTCGCCATAAGCATAAACTATGATCATTTTTTTGAAGGGAGTATTGTTGAGATACAAATAATGTCTCACATCCTTAAAATATAGGGATAAACATGAGTTTATATACACATATGTCTCTATTGGTAAGAAGTCTTTTAGGTGTTGACCAAAAGCAAAACTGTGAGGGTTTAGGCACAAAGCAAACAATATCTTACCATTATGGAGACATGTGTGTGTGGTCGCCCCCAATGCACAACAAGTGGTATTAGAGACATTGGTTTGACTAGGTGATCAACTCAACAAGTATGATGTAGTTGGCAGGTTGACCTGGGTATAAGATCCCTAGTATCAAAAGTCTTCCCAACGGTGGGTTCATGTGTGGAAGATAGTCTTCCTAATAACATGAGGGTTAGGAGGTGTGTCCCACTATCGTGAGTTAACACGATGGAGCGACTATGCAAGTACTTAGAGCGTGACTAAATTTTATGAGTCACCATCAAATATACTTGTGGACTGATAACTTTCACTGTAAGGGAGGGTAAACCATAATTCTTTGTTTAAGGAGAGGATTGTTGGGATGCAAGCAAAATTTCATATCGTTTAAATAAGAAGATGAACATGAGTTTATATATACAGACATTTGTTTCCATTGGTAAAAGGCTTTTTGGGCAATAATTAAAGCAAAATTGTGAGGACTTAGGCCCAAAGAGGACAATATCTTATATTGCGGAGATGTGTGTGTGTAAGAAAGCCCTCTGGTGCACAACAAAAACCTTCTCAAACAAATGATTAAAAAAACTTGTCCACATCAACATCACCATAAAATAAAAGGCTCATGTAACAAAGCACCCCAAACTTTGGCACTTGGTTCAACTGTTATTTCATAAATGAATCTTGCTGTTTTTGAGAGTTTCCTAACTCAACTAATAACATATACCATGCAAGCATAGTGACCCACCAAGGGTTGAATGCCACATTTTGAGGGCATAAAATTGAAGATATTCCAAGCTTCATCAATAAATTCAAATGAGGAAGAGTTGTTAATACAAAAGTTAATGTCATTGCTTCAAGTTGAATTCCTTTATCTAATATATGAGCTTAGAGATTAAGTGGCAAACTAGTAACACCATGAGCAACATAAGTAGATATAATTGTTGTCCAAATTATAGGCTCATACTTTGTGATAGTTCGAAAACACATTGCGTTCTACAAATATGTCCCAAATTTGCATAAAAACATTAATAATGGAAGTTGAAACATACACATTTTGCGCATAATTTTTCCTGATTGCATAAGCATGCATCTATTTCACTTCTTTAAGGTTTGAGAACTATTAAAAATAAAGGAAGAACACCAACAAACATGGCAACATAAAATTAGCACACTATTTTTATTTTTGGTACCAAATCAAAGACCCTTTTAAACTCTTTATTCTAAACAAGACCAAAAATCGCAACATTCCATGTATTTAATCAAAGATTTTTCACCTATTAAAAAATATATATGGCTTCGAACCCGTAACTCAAGTACCCAAAAATAATCAACCCATAAGTAACCTAATCCTTCTCACAAATTCCCCTAACATGAGGTGGTTATAGATGATGGAGGTGAAAGAGATGATGTTCATGAGTTCCCCCTTTTTAGATTCAATTTCATCTCATATAAAAGTGCTAGCAACACACCATATAACACACTCACTCTTATTGATTAGAATTTATTGAAAATTACAATATTAGGAAAGAGAGTCATTAAATAAAATGTGAGGCCTGCCAAATTATGTATTTTCCAATAACTTTCAACTAATTAGTGAAAATGTGTTTAAAAGAATGTCTTATAAAGTTCATTGCTGACATTTCCCATACACTATTCATATGTTCTTCCTAACTTTTTAATTTGATTATTGACAATTTAGAAGATACTTTTCATAAATACTTCATAATTGTCCTTGCCAACGTGGCATCACTTCAGATTGGTTCTTATGACATGACAATTATGTAATGTGAACGATAATATCTAATATGGTACTTAACTTGTCACCTTATCTCCATTAATGCGATTACTTAATGCATCTACTTAGAGTCTAACTTGACTGATGGAAGTAATTTTTAAGGATTTTTTTAATGAAAAAGTTGCGCTCATTATTTTTGAGGTACACATGTCTTCTTTAATTTTAAAAAATCGCTCACTTCCCTTAAAATAACATTAGTAGTTAAAGTGATAGAAGGAGAAAAAAAAAATAAAAGTCAATTTATATTATTTCAATTATATACATGTCTATCTTTAGTTTTTGAATTATATACACCGTTCTTATTTACTTTATGAAATTTTTTTTATTGTTATTTAATTTTGAAAATAACAATTTATCAACTCATTTTTTGAAATTGTTTATTGAAATTGATATATTATTTAAATCATAACACACATAATATTTTTATGAGTTTGAAATGAATAAGAGATCAAGTTTCATTCAATTGTTAGCACTTACATTAATAATTTGTTATTTCTTAACAACATATAAATACTATTATTTTATATAAGAGATTATATATGTCATTAAGATAAATAAATAAAACATATTGATGTTCACTTAAAAATAAAAAAAATGGTATATATCATTTAAAAATGCGTCAATGGAAATTTTCTTTTATTAACTTATCATCTTTCAAGTTTTGAATAATAATTGCCTTACACTCTCACTAATCAAATTAAAAGTTTATCGAGAAGAAAAATACCTTGAGTAAAGGGGATAATGAAAAGCAAAAGCATAATATAATAATAAAAATAAAAAGAAAGCAGAAACATAGAGAAAGAGGAGGCAAGGCAGAAACGTTGGAGAGGAATATCCAATAAAATTCTCCTTTTCCCCAACTCCTGTCTCCTGGCTCGCTCATTCCTCGCGAGGAAAATACCAATGACACACACGTAACACGTTCCGTGGCATAAAAATCCGAAGCCAAAACCGTCAGAATTACTCGTTAAGCACTCGTCCACCTGTCGTTTCTCGATCCCCAGCGCACTGTTCAACTAACTTGTGATTAGTATCGCTCTCTCACGACACCCAGTTTGGGACTCAGATCTGAATTGAAATGGTCGTATGAGTGGGGGCGGTGTCGTTTCGATGGATCACGTGCTCGTGGCTCTGGGCGAGACCAAGGAGGAGAGGGAGGTTCGGATTCGGAGCCTCTTCAATTTCTTCGACGCCAAGAATAACGGTTATTTGGACTTCGCTCAGATAGAGGCGGGCTTATCGGCGCTGCAGATTCCGCCCGAGTATAAGTACGCCAGGGAACTCTGCCAGGTTTGCGACGCCAACAGCGACGGCAGGGTGGAGTACCACGAGTTCCGCCGTTACATGGACGATAAGGAATTGGAGCTTTACCGCATCTTCCAAGCCATCGATGTCGAACACAATGGCAACATTCTCCCTGAAGAGCTCTATGATGCTCTTTGCAAAGCTGGTATTGCTATGTCTTCTCTGTTACTTTGTAATGCTTTTCTTTTATTAAAACTAAATTAATTGAGATTGCACAAACTCTCCCTGCTTAGGGACAAATTGCTATGCTTTTTAAACAATTAATCTTTGTTTATTACAAGACCTTTTAAATGTAAAATATGACATGATTATCGGAACTTACTTATGGCAGGTTGGAGGAGCCATTCATGTCCTGAAACTTGCTTTTAATGGAGTCCAATAGGATTTTGCAAAAATTAATTGTTTGGTTTATGTTTCTTAGAATGAAGTATATGTTCTTGCTAATCATGTTCCTTAAGAGTGTACAGTCTTGGTTTAATCCGCAGTCCGCAGTCTGTATGTATGGTCGAGCATCTATAGGGAGAGGTTAATATTTTAAATAGATTTTGTGTCTCGAGGAATTAGTCTTGGTCAGATACCTTGAGTCACTAAAATAAACTAAGAATACATTCCTAACAGTTCGCATGAGTAAAAGTGGAAAAAATGTACCTTTTCTATTTGGTTGAGAATTTTATGCTAAATTTGACCACAAACTTTCATGAAAGCATGGATCACTTACTTTTGAACATAAATCACTTTGTTTCAAATTTAAATTTACAAAATCAAGGTCATTTAAAATCAAGTTTGGGAGCACCCATCCAAACAGAGCTATAAGGTAAGACATTGGCTTTTGATGTTTTGGCTGGCTAATAACAATATTTCAGCGAATATAATATAAGGTAAGATTGTTTTTAGTAGGAAACAGATTTGTGGATTCTATGACAGGGAAGTGGTTTTGCTTTGTTCCTTTTTATTGGACATTTGTTGCCAATCATTACGATTATGCTCGAACAATGTTGGGAGACTTGCAAATTGCAATGTTTATATTCCTTCACAATTTTGGCGAGCTCTCTTTGATATGTCTCTTTTAACTGATATACGGTGGATTTGTTTTGTATTTTTTCGTTTGGGGTCATTCTTTGGATCTGCATGATGCGTGAGATTTGGGAAGGCTACTTCAATCTTTGATGATGGATTCTGTAATGTGTTTGTTACTTATTTGCTTGCATAGTTTTTTGTGTGCAATAATCTGCTGTGGTCTGTACCCTTTAGTGGATTTTGAAGATGACATTCCTTTATGCCTTTTGCGGAAGCTCCTTCCATGTTATGGTTTTTGTTTTTCCAGATAGTATTTATCATAAGCTTGTGCAGTTTCAATGCTGCAGGGATTGAATTGGATGACGAGGAGCTTGCTCACTTTGTGGAGCATGTTGATAAGGATAATAATGGAATTATCACTTTTGAAGAATGGAGAGATTTTCTTCTACTTTACCCTCATGAAGCAACTATTGAAAATATATATCATCATTGGGAGAGGGTGTGCCTTGTTGACATTGGAGAGCAAGCTGTTATTCCTGAAGGCATCAGCAAGCATGTGAACCGGAGCAAATATTTTATTGCCGGGGGAATAGCAGGAGGTATTTCTCGGACAGCAACTGCTCCTCTTGATCGTCTAAAGGTGGTCTTACAAGTTCAAACTGCACGTGCTGCTATTATGCCAGCAGTAAGGAAGATATGGACGCAAGATGGTCTGTCAGGATTTTTCCGAGGAAATGGATTGAATGTTGTGAAGGTAGCGCCAGAAAGTGCCATAAAATTTTATGCTTTTGAAACGTTGAAAAATATAATTAGAGAGGCTCAAGGCAACAAGTCAGATATTGGTACTGCTGGGAGGCTTTTTGCAGGAGGTATGGCTGGTGCAGTCGCACAGGCTGCTATCTATCCACTGGATCTTATTAAAACTAGATTACAGACTTGTGCCTCTGAAGGTGGAAGAGGCCCTAAGCTAGGAACACTTACAAAGAATATATGGGTTCAAGAGGGACCTCGAGCTTTCTACAGAGGGCTTGTTCCATCTCTGCTTGGCATGATTCCTTATGCAGCCATTGATCTCACTGCTTATGATACCTTGAAAGATATGTCCAAGAGATATATTCTTCATGATAATGGTATGTTATTACTGCCGCCACATTATCTCCTGAACTTGCTGATTTTATTTGTTCTAACAGCTTCAATTACAGTAGATATTGACTCTTAAATTTGTCTTCCTCGAAGTGAGGCCTTTTACTCTTTTTTCTCCTTCCTAGAACCTGGTCCTCTAGTACAACTAGGATGTGGGACAATTTCTGGGGCTGTTGGAGCTACTTGTGTCTATCCACTGCAGGTTATTCGAACAAGGTATAATGTTGTCAGTAATACTGTTGTTTCTCTGTCCTCCCCCAAAAGAATATTGGAGTGAAGGATGGTATCATTTGTGTTCTCTGAATCTGATTTTGTTATGTTATGGTCGTTCTTTTCTGACAATATTGCATTACCATCCTTCTCAGACTGCAGGCACAACCTTTCAACACTTCCGATGCTTACAAGGGGATGTTTGACGCCTTTTGGAGAACTTTCAAGCTTGAAGGCTTTACAGGTCTCTACAAGGGACTCTTTCCAAATCTCCTCAAAGTTGTGCCAGCTGCAAGCATTACTTACGTGGTTTACGAAAAAATGAAGAAGAATCTGGATCTGGATTAGAGTTTATATTCGGGGGTACTATCACAAGGTGTTTCCAGACAACCAAAAAGCCATTTTAAGTACCAGGTTAGCCCTAGGCACAAGGTACTTCCAGATTTGTGAGCATTCACATTGTAGGTAAAATTCTTTAACTCAGTAGGTCATACCTCATGGTTGAGTATTATATAAAATTCCTCAAGCAATTGGGTTGATGATACTTTAGTGAGTCATGAATTGCTGATGGTTGCGATAAGAGGTTATATTAGAAAATCATTCATTCCGAGGAAAACGATTTTGTAGTCAGAGGCTCAGTATTTCCCCATGCTTATCTGAACTAAATGTTGAGCAACTAAAGTGTAGCATTCTTAGATGGAAAAATAACAAGCAACGAGGAGCCATCCTTTTCATTATGGACTCACGTGAAGCCTGAAAGCTGTGTCAAGTAATACAAACTTGGATTCGAAGTTATGTTGCTTAAAAAGGGTGCCGTTGTTTGTAGTACAAACAGATGTATCATATATGAAAACGATTTTTTTAATTAAAATATGGTGTCTCGATTTACAATTTTATGAACTTTGCCATATGATATGAAAGATAGATCCTGTACACAATATCACGAATTGATGACCTGCAGTTTTGGACGAACTGGATCATAAGAGTGAAATATCTCATCCCGTTCGTATTCATTCATATTTAAACTCGTAATTTAGCATTTTTTTATGCTCTGTGCGCTATAATCGAAACATACCCTTACTATGCCATAAATTTGAGAAAGTAACTAGCCATTCACCTAATTTTTTCATCACTTTAGACAAAATTGCTACCTCAGCTTTGACGAGTAGTATAGGTTGCGTTCTTCAGTCTCACTTAAATCATCTACGAGAAATTTTTAGTTTATATCAGTTCGAGTCAAATGTTCAAAATTACATAAATGATCACCGTAGATAGCAATCAACACAGATTTATTGTGTATCAGAAAAGGAAAAGACACACTTTTTATTATATATTAAAGTGCGAACTATGTGTTGTAAGTTGTAAGACAACTTAAGTAAATTACCAGCACACATGCAACTCGATGAATGGAACCCGGAAGAAAGGCGTCACCTTCCCTTTGCCTTTATGACTTGCCTTGTTGTACATCTCTTCAAATCAGGGAAGAAGAGAGTAGCATAGTTTGCCATGATTGGATTTAGTTATATCATCAGCTTCATTTTCTCCTTTCTCCATACCTTGCTTTTGTTCCTTTGCTTGGCTTACGGGTGAGGTGTGAGGTTGGCTAACTGCTATCATTCAAGCATATAAATCCTCTCCAAATACAAAGATTCTTTGATGAAATTCCTTCAATTTTGAAGATAACGCAGGGAATTTGAAGGCCGACTAAAGAGATTACGTATCAACAAAGATGGAAAAAAACACACACACACACACACATTTCCATTTTCAAATGGTCCCCCTCCCCTCAAAAAGTAATTTGTTAGGAAGATATGCTTATCTCCATCATCAAGAAGAATATTATTATTCTTTTGCTTTAGATAAAATTAAAATAAAAAATATCCTATAAAAAAAGTGACAAAGAAGTAAGTAAGGTCGGTAAATAATGACAATAATAAAAAATATGTTATTAGACAAAGCATCGGACATTTTATAGATTTTTTTTTATAGAAGTATTAATCACATACTTTTTCTAACACACTATTTCAAATACACTTTTTTATTGATTAAAATTTATTTAAAATTATAAAACTAGAAGAGATAATTATTAAATAAGAAATGTAACATATACGATATAGAAAGATTATTATTAGGACTTTTTTTATTATGATTTACAAATTAGGAATAATTAAGAGTGATACTCTTGGAAGAAAATGAAAATACATGTGTGAGGAGCAATGAGATGAAAAAAAATAAAAAGATAAAGAAATATAATGTAACGTGGGTTTAAAAATTATGATATGAAAATAAATAAGTTACTTTATAAAATAGGATGGTATCAACCAATTTGTTTGGGCTAAATGCTTGTTTATTTTCCTATATTTCTGAATTCCAAAGCACGTTCAACGTAATTTGTCTCTCACGTAGCTTTGGCATTGAATATCACTTCATGATAATACAAACACACTATAAATGATCGGAGTATTGTTTGCATGAATAAAGTGCTTTGGTGCACCATTAACCAGAAATGTTTGTATAGGGTGGTAAAGTAGGTTGTGATACACCAGACTTGTCAGCACATCGGGTCAAATGTAGGTGGGGCGAGTTTTTCCACTAGCTTATATAATTTTTAAATATTATTTTTAATTTATTTTGTAATTCATTTGATGATATTATAGTTTAGTTTATGCTTATTTTGTAGACTATGTTGAGGTGTAATTTTATTTTTAAAGGACTACTAATATTTGTATTGTAATATATCAGCTATTAAATTTTGTATTATTGAAAGATTATTTTGACCCAAAAAGAAAGATTTTTAATAATTTGTAATGTAATATTTTTGTATTGTATTATTAAAGTTGAAAGATAAATTCATATTATAGGTCTTTTAATTAAATTTTTTAATTGTTTAAAAAAAAAAGAATTACATTCATCAATTTGAATTAACTAGTTTTGTCACCTCTAGAATATATAAGGCATGTGGTTTGTTGGAAACCTATAATTTGGTTCATATGAAATATAGAAAGTGTTTTGAAAATTTTATTGAAAATTTGTTTAGAAATTTATATTGTCTTCTAATTACAACTTACCATTTATAATAAGTTGCTGACTTTTAGAATAACTACTTAGAAGTTACATTAATGGTGATTTTCAATCATTTGGTAATATAAAACTTTTTACCCTGGCAATCTATGATATTAAATCCAAAAGACAAGTGATATAGTTTTCTTATTTTTTTTATAAAAAAAAATCTTATCTTAAAAAGATTTTAAAATTTTTTAATAAACTTTTAATAGTTATTATATTTTTTTTCAGCAACAAAAAAATAAAAAATAAAATGGAGCACATGAGTCTTGCATGTGTAAATATAAATTTTTAGTTTTTAGTTTTTACTAGCAAATTTTATAACTCAAATGCGGTAATATTCAATTTTCATATGAGAAGAGATCTATTTAAAGTAAGTCTATTTAGATTTATTTTGTTTAATAACTCATGCTCTATATCAAATCTCAACGATCCAACCGTTGAATTTAAAATTCTTAATGTATAGATTAAATCTGTAAATTTAAAAAAAAATTGAAAATCATTTAATACTTCATTTAATTAATTTAAATTAATGTATAAAATAATTTTATAATTATTCATGATTGAACTATCAATTAAAATATTTGAGAATATCAATTTTTGAAGTGAAATATGATACTTTGAAATAAATCATCCAATATTTTGAATGATACACTTGTGAAGATTAACTAAAAAGATAAATAGAATTTTTTGATAATCATGCTATTGGTGTGAAATTGGATAAATAATGTCTGATTATAAAAGACAACTAATACAAAAAAAATGACTAAATTAAAATTTTGTTGGTTTAAATTGAATATTATTTTTCAAAAGTTTGAAATCAACCATTGAAAGAAAGAAAACATACATACACTTAGCTTCCACTAGTTAATACTGTTTTTCAACAAATCCTTAAAAACCAACAATTTGTTGTTAAAATTTCTGTTCTGACAAATAATTAGTCGAAAATTGGAAAATGGCCCTTAGAATGTGGAGCAAAAATGGGTTGATCTCTTTACCTAAAGTCTTGTTCTATGCATTGACCAAAGGCCAACATAGGTGCTTGGACCAACAACGTGGCATGCAAGGGCTACAATTTGCTCCTTTGCATGCGGAGAACGTATGTGTTACAGAAAGTGTTTGGAACAGCGTCTAAGATTCACATATTTTTTTCAAAACCACGTCAAAAGCGAGACAAATACGCAGAAGAAGGTATATATTGCTTTTGCATCCACTGTTTTGGACAGGAATCCAAAAACATGCTAACAAACTACATCTCTTTCAACTTCAACCACGTCCCATCCCAGACTCCAACAACATCCAACATTCAATTTAACTTCATTGCTGCTAAATCAACAAAGAAATAGAGAGATGGGGCACAAAGAAAAATCAAAGGGTAAAGACAAGAGATTGCAACAAATCTCTCTCTTGAGAACCATTCCTTATTCTGATCACCAAAGGTTTGATGTATTGTCCAAGCTATCTACCCCATCTCATAGTTCTATGTCTATATTAATTTACTTTTGTACAATTAGACTTAATTGTAACGTTAAGATAAATTGTTTGATTATTTTTATTAAGAGGAAAATCGTTGAAATTTTTTATACAAATTCTATTGATAAAGGGTTTTATGATTTGAAAGAATGGCTCCCCTCAACTCAACCATAACCCCAAAGGTTGATATATTAATTACACATTCTACATTCATACATTGTAGAAACAATCTATTTAGTGAGGTGCTTTCGATTCCTACTATGTGTGAAAACTTTTCACACTAGCATAGTCTCTAATTCAATCAGTTTAAAAAAGTTACAACAAAAAAAACTTAAATGCATCTAATATTCTTTATCATTTTTTTTCCATAGAATTCTAGATGGGTCCCTGCTTGTAATATATTTAGCGTGTAATTGGGTATTGATCATATGATAGGTGGTGGTCTAAGGAAACCATTGCGGTGGTTACTGGTGGAAACAGAGGAATTGGGTTTGAGATTTGTAGACAACTTGCTGATCATGGAGTGACTGTTATACTGACATCAAGAGACACTGGCGTTGGTGTTGAATCTGTCAAGGTCTTGCAAGAAGGTGGTTTCGCAGAAGTGGCTTGTCATCAACTTGATATATTGGATTCTGAATCTGTCAACCAATTTGCTGAGTGGTTGAAGGAAAATTATGGTGGTTTAGACATTCTGGTCAGTTTCTAAAACGTAATTACTTCCTTGCAATCTTACTTCACTTTAATTGGTGATCAACACTAATTAAATTATGAAAATATATTTGAACTCTAAAAAAATATAAATAATTTGATATTGATTTTATGATATGCTTATAAGCAATAATATTGTTATCTGCAGGTAAATAACGCTGGTGTTAATTTCAATCAAGGGTCTGATTTGACTGTTGAAAATGCTCGCAAGGTTATTGAAACAAATTATTATGGCACCAAGAGAATGGTTGAAGCAATGATTCCATTGATGAAGCCATCCGCTGCTGGTGCTCGTATTGTAAGTGTGAGCTCACGTGTAGGTCGGATGAATGGCAAACGACATGTAAGTAAAATACTCTATATATATGTTGTTATTAAATAAATGGAGCCATTGGTTCTTCATATAGACTTACTTGTATCTTTTCTCACTTATGTTTTGTTTTGTGATTTTGTAAATTTTATCTCCAAATTTTAAAAATTATGCATTTTGTTTTTTAACTTTCAAAATTTTACACTTTTATCATCATGTTAGTGGACTCTCTAACACTGTTAATTAACTGTTAAAGTAATGTTAACTGTCAACTTGACACTTTATGTCATATTATTAATTTATATTAGCAATCAACGTAACATGTTAGTAGTTAATATGTCATGTTAGTTGTCAACTAATAATAGGGTAACAAAATGTGCAATTTCAAAAATTGATGACAAGTAGTGTAGTTAAATCTTGTGTATATAATTTCTTGTAGATGTAAAACTGAATATATATAAGTTGGCTATGTAACAGAGAATAGAAAATGACGAGTTGAGGGAGAAACTAAGTGATGATGAATCCTTGTCAGAGGAAATGATTGATGAATTCTTATCTACTTTTTTACAACAAGTAGAAGATGGAAGCTGGAAATCACATGGGTGGCCTCAAACGTTCACTGACTATGCAGTGTCAAAATTGGCAGTTAATGTTTATACAAGGTACATGGCAAGGAAGCTTTCTGAAAGGGAAGAGGGTCAAAAAATTTACATAAATTGTTATTGCCCTGGTTGGGTGAAAACTGCTCTAACAGGTTATTCAGGAAGTGTCACAGTTGAGGAAGGGGCTGATACTGGAGTTTGGCTTTCCCTTCTTCCTGAACAGGCAATTACAGGCAAGTTTTTTGCAGAAAGAAGGGAGATTCACTTTTAAGCACAAAGGGTTATTAAAGAAAGGAAAATTATAAGTTTGGTAACTTATGGTTTGTGTTAAGAGCAAACAACACATTAAGAGAGTCTTTGTTATTGATAGATGGCCAGTGCATCATGATTTAATCTGTGACATTAGAATTAATGGTATTTGAGACCAGTTTGATGAACAAATTCATGTCATCAAGGATAATTTCATCACCAGCAATTTAAAGTTTTCCCCCTATCATAAATATATCATGTTGTAAGACATTTTTTTTAATTTCTTTTTATTTTCAGTGGTAAGGTCATCATTGGACTTTCTCTAGGACAAACAAAAGTATGTTTTTATCCGTGTTTTTACAATATTTTGATTATTTTCTAACGAAGTTGATGCATGTTTGTCAAAACCTACTATCTTGCTTTCCTAGAATTGGGAGTTCTTTTGCGAATGTTTTAACTTATTTAAAGGTTTTGTCATAAGGTTGGATCGGGATAGCCGATGAATTACATTGGTAAATCATTTAAAGATGGTGTTTTTTTAATGATAGTTTGTTAGGAAACTAATCACCCACAAAGTAGAGATTTACACTTTGTTTGGAATACATGAAGGATAAAGAAAGAGAAATGAAAAATAAAATTACACCATTATATAAAATAAAAAAAGTAAAGAAAAATTTAGTGAGTTGCACACTAAAAATATATAAATATATATATATATATATATATATATATATATTATAGGAAGAAAGTCGCGTTAAAAAATATTATTTTTTATAATCATATTATTAGTATATTTTGTGGATAATTAATTTCAGTCAAATAACCTAATTAACTATCTTTAGGGGGTGTTTGTTACAAAGATTCATTTAATTTTTCCAAAAATGTGAAGTTATAAAAATTATTTTTCCATATTTGGTTTACTAATTAAAAAAAATAGTATTCATAGGAAAATATTATTTTTTTAGAATAATTTTTTCTTATATTTTCACGAAATTGTTCCCATAAAAAGGAAAGTAAATCTAACATTCATAAGTTAAATGAAAAGTGTTCAATAAAATGTCATATTATGCAGGTAACATTTATAAACATTTTACCAAAATAGTTTTCATATTTAATGTAATAAAAAAATTTGATTCTTAAGTAATCAAACAAATGTTAATCATTCATAGAAATCAATTATGATTCTCGGACATAACTTATATTTTTACTCTATTTCTTAATGAATTCTCTTCTATTCATTTCACTTTTTTTTTTCTTAAATACTCTTTACAAATATCAATATGAAATTAATTCTTTATGCTCAAAACTCTTTTTTTTTTATTTATAAATATATTATGTAAAAATCAAATATATTGTTACAAGCCATACTACAATGTGAAAATAAAGTGGTTTCCTATAAATGTGTAAAAAAAATACATTAGAAATCGGTACAGATAGATTTCTCCATTAATATTTTATAAAAAAATAATATATATATTTTTTAAAAATTAACTTATAAAAAGTTAATTAATAGGTATTCTTTCATATTAGTTTCTCTGAAAATATATTTATCTAAATTATAGAAAAACTTATTAAACTTTTCCTTATTTTTTTAATCTAAGAGTATTTATAAAAGTTATTCAAATATATTTTAATTAGTATTTTTTTTAAATATTAACATAAAAATATTTTTTTTATTTATAAGAAAACATAATTCAAACTCAAAATCATGCATATGTTAACTCAACTTCATTCCTTACTAGATCTATTAAAAAAAAATTAAAATATATTTTTAGTTCATATGATTTTATTATATAAAATTATATTTTATAGTTTATGGTTAAAAATTAGACTTTTTAAGTTTATATATTACATTTTTTAATCTTTATCATTAATATTTTTGTAATATCATTTTCGTATATGTGACATGAATTTATTAAATTTACACTGTCGTAATGTATTTAGTTTTCTAGACAATGATATATTACTTAATGGTTTGAGAAAAAAAAAAATAAAAAGTTTTGATGATTTTGTGAATAGCCAAGGATATGATTTAGATGAATGATCAAATTGTTAATGACTCTATAGTAAAAGTGAAGAGTCTGATTTAGAAGAAAAAAGAAATGAAAAATTTGGATAATTTTGTAAATAATCGATATTTATTATGACTGAATGTGATCTATATGAGTGATCAAATTACTAATAATTACCTGCTAATAGTGAAGAATCTATATAATTTTATGGACTAAATAAAATGTAGATCAATAATGAAATTGTTATTGACCGTATAGAAAATCGTTAAGTAATACATCATTATCTAGAAAATAAAATACATTATTATTATATAATTTTAATAAGTTTATATCACTTATGCGAAAATACATTATAATAAAATTAATAACATAAATTTAAAAATTTTAAAAATATAAATATTTAAACAGTATTTTTTTTTTATAAAAAAAAATTAAAGTTGGATGGTGAAAATGCATCCGGTTTTATACTTTTGATGTTTGGGCAGTGGCGAGTTATTAATTAAAACCACAGCCCAAAACGGTGGAGCATCATCGTCTTCACGCATCAGTGTTCCCAATCCCACTAGACATATCAAATAAACTCAAATTTAAATTCCACTTCTGCTTCCAATGGCGAATTTCAGAAAAGCTGCCATCAACGTCTTCAGAGTCATCAATTCCAACAAAGCCACCGTCGCTGCCTCCACAAACCCCCTTCAGACTCTCAGGTACCCTTCAATTACACCTTCGCTTCTTCATTCTCCCTTTTATTAACCAACCTTATCGTTTTCTGCAGGCCTCTTTTTTCTTATTCCATCTTTACCCCTTTCTCGTCCCACTCTCAAACTCAATCCCTGCAAATCGATTTGTCTAACGAAGAAAGCAAAAGACGCCTGTTTAATCGGTTCGCTTTTGTTTAAGCTTTACCCTTTTTGCTTTCTATGCTAAAACTGTTGCTATATTTTTAAAGTTCTTTTTTATTGTTTGATTTCTCAACAGGCTGGTATATAGAAGCAAACAACGAGGGTTCCTGGAACTCGATTTGGTACTAGGGAAATGGGTTGAGGACAACATTCACTCCTTGGATGAAAATCGAATGAGGGATCTCATTTATGTTCTCGACCTGGTACTTTATTTATGTTCATCTTCGCGTGATAATCATTTATTGCATTGATTTGGGTTCATATTAATTTTGAAAAATTAAGTTGTTAGAATTGCTCCTTCTGGATTTTTTTTTTAATGTTATTGAGGAATTTGAATGCCTCTATGATCTATCCTGATTCCTGTATGTTGAGTTATTTGGACTAGCATATTTCAAAAAGCATTTGTACTGTCTTACCGTTACTCGAATGAAAATTCTCTGTAAAGGGGTTTTATGATAAAAAAAAATTAATCAAAAAATGTTCTATGACAGATTTGATACAGGTTGCTTAAGATCTTATTTCCTTTTTTATCAGTTAGAGAAGTTTGTTTCTGTCAGTGATATGATATTTTGTTGAACTATCTTTTCTTGGTTGAGACTAGAGGATGATCCAAATTCAGTTAACTGGCATAAGAGATGGAAGTTTTAAGTGAAAACAAGAGTTGTTTGGTTTAGGACAACTTGATATTTAGGATATGTTTGGATAAATTTCTCTAAAAATACTTCTAAGAGAATAAAATAAATAGGAAAAAAAGAAATAATTTTTTAAAAGTTAAAATTAACTTATACATAAGCTAATTGTTAAAGTTCTCTTAAATCAATTTCTTCAAAATATTTTTTTTGCTTATGTATAAATTAATTTTGGTTTATGGAGAAGTTTATTTTATTTATTTTTCTTATTTCTTCTCATACAAGTTCTTATAAAATAAAGAAGTTTGTCTTATCAAATTCTTAGTGCTTACAGAGAAGTTTATCCAAATAGACTCTTAATAAGACTATCAATGGCCTTTAACAATATAAGCCTAATCCATAATATCATAATCTTGAGTTCACCTGTAGGACAAAGCCTGGCTACAGGAATTTAGACGTTTTAGATGCAACTTCCTGTTCTGTTTCGTGAAAAGGATTTCATTGATATGTTCATTCGTGTAAGGTCCAGAAAATTTTTTCGACGGCACTACTTGAAATCAGATTAATTTCAATATTTAGAATGATTGAATGGAAAGTGTCAGCATCTTCCACTCTTCTCTTTTGTACACAACAAAAAGATGTAAATGTAATGATGATTTGCACCATTGGTAGTTCTTGATAGTGACATCACATTTAGTGGGACTTGAGCTTCTCAATTTTTGCTCCTTTGCGGTCACAACTAGATTTGAGCATGTAAATTTAGAAGGGTGGGTGAGAATTGAGAAATCATGTCTGTGACTCTTTGTATTGGTTTTGTTAAAGGGTTTAGACTATGTTTGGTTACATGTTTTCATCTTGTAACCAAATTTAGCTGATCTCGAATGCGATACTTGCATGTTTGACATTTTTCTTTTATGTTTTGTTGAGTGAGTTACAAAGAAACTTCAGTTGAATCAAAAGTAAGAGGTTTCTTCCTTTTTCTTTTAAAACGTTGGTTTCAAAAGTTAACTTTAACTCGCACACTTACTTTGCTAAGTTTTGATGGAAAATGACAATGGGATAGCAACCAGGTGCTAACAATTTGAGGCAGTTGTGTTGATTGACTTGAGTCACTTCAAAATTCTATTCCTTCTCTGCAGGAGAATCCAGATTTATGGAAGTGGATATCAGGGCAGGAACAACCCCCAGAATCAGTTAGTGCAAACCCGGTGAGTTTTATTTTAATAAGTGAACAATGAAATATGATCATTTGATTGATTTTGTTTTCCCTTTGGGTACAATTCTCATGTCAGTCAGTCATCTATTGCTTATAGGTCTTTGCTGCAGTGAAGGAAAGAGTTATGAAAAACCTTGATAGCCATTCTGCTCCTGAAGCAAGAGCAACACCTGGCCAACCATGGGTAAGAGGCTGGGATGATATTAAGAAAGGGCGAGATGGTCCTGTTTCTGGAAATCAGTAGGTTGACATTGAATGATCTTATCATATGTTTCAATGAACGAAATCTGGTCCACCATTTTGTAATTATAAATAACTAAATAAGGGCTGGGGAACTGCAACTTAAAAGGTTTGTATTAGCTGCTAGAAATCAGTAAAAGGGGTCTAAACTGGATGTGAGTTATGACTTTCTTGGAATGTTCCCTCTTCATCTGTTTTATATCTATTAAGTATAGATATCATTTATGTGGTGTTAATTTGGATTAGAAATAATTTGAAAGGACATGATGATTAAAAAATTGGTATGTGTTTGGAAATGATATTAAAAATAAATTTAGAAGAATTTTGTTTAGATGGTAAAATAGAATGAATTTCAAGTGTAAATGATTGTGTCTTTTTAAAATTTTATTGATCTCGTATTTAGAATTATTTGTTTCTAGTAGGCTTGTAGCAAATGGTATGTTTACTTCTGTATCGCACTTTTAGTTTACAAAATTTTCATCTTTTTAATTTTGTTTTTTGTTTTCAAAGATTTACATAGGATATATATATATAGTTTTCACGTACTGTCTCTTGTACAAATATTTGGAAACAAAAAACGAATTAAAAAGGAGATTACAATTTTGTAAATTAAAAGTGAAAATTTTAAATGGAAACAAAATAACTTTTTCAAGGAAACACAAAATGACAGTGATTGATTGGTCTATAAAAAGATTTTTTTATTTTTTTTTATATCATCCAAGTTTTTATTTTAGCTTCGTTATACATCTTAATTCGTAGTTATTAATTGTGTTAATCTCATAATAGGATAAAATTTAATTTTTAATTTGGTTTAAAAATAATTAAAGTGACATTTAAATAATTTATTTCTTATCTTTTATTCATTTTTGTATTTGACAGCCATAAAGAGAACCATTATTATGAAAAAAAATTCTTCTTTGTTTAAGATCTTTCAGAATGATCACTAATTTTATTAAATGACAAATTCAATAATATAAGGTTTATAATACTAAATCTGTAGTTAGAAAAAAAAAATTAAGATCACTTGTTTTGTTAATTTTGTTTAAAAATTAACAAAATTAATAACTAAGTATAATAAAATATTTAAATTGTATAACGAAGTTAAAAATTGGAAACTTAAATATAATAATAATAATAAAATAATAAAATAATAATAATAATAATAATAATCATAATAATAATAATCTTATAGGTACATATAGGTGTTTCCTCAAACTTCTCATTTTTCTTAAAATAAGTTCTATTCAATATGCTCCCGGAAACAAGATGATAAGATAAAAAGCAAATAGAGATGATGTTTCTATAATAGATTATATAATAATTTTGATAATTAGAAAAGAAATAGAAGTATAAGATGTACTATTTCCGCATTTTTAATTGTCTTTTTTTAAGTAGAAATTCGTTTATTTATTTATTTATCATTTTTAAATTTAAGATAATATTATTTATTTTTTGTCAGTTACATTCTTACTTATTAATTTATACATTGACAATTAATACTTATTTACTATAGAATAAAAATAAAAAATTTATTGTATTTTTTAATTTGTATATAAATGTCTTAAAGCTACTATTAAAAAGGAATGGATCCAGAATGAGAGAGATAATAGAAAATATTTTTCATACATTATATTCGATGTTGGGAATTAGAGTTTGGACGTGACAGTGCCTCTTATCTTCTTCGGTGCAATGGGCAGTGCAAGTGCAAGTGCAAGTGCAAGAGAACAAATGTATTTGGTGGCTTTCCTCCTTCTATTCCGGCCTTCAAAATCAACGGCCATAAGAGAGGAGCCAAAAGCCGCTGATTGGCCGCAGCAGTTCCACTCGGTAATGTTCATGAACCGAACCGGAACTCTGCAGAAACTGGACCTCTGGTACGACTGGCCCAACGGCCGCAACTTCAACATCATCCAGAATCAGCTCGACCACCTCGTCACCTACGACCTCGAATGGAACAACGGAACCTCCTTCATCTACACGCTCGACCCCTCCCACTCTAAGTGCCAAGTCCTGCACCTAGATGTCGGTATTCTCCGCCCCAATTGGCTCGACGGCGCCACCTATTTGGGTCAGCAACGCGTTGATAATTTCCTCTGCAACGTCTGGGACAAGGTTGATTTCATTACCTACTACGAGGATGTCGTCACTCGTGTACCTGTTAAGTGGATCTTCTACACAGGTACACAACCCTCTATGCCTATGCTTAATTTAATTCTTACTTACTCTTGCTATATGTCTAAGTTAACCCAAAAGCTACCTTTCACGCTACTAACTATTTTAGGCAAGAAAGGATCTTCAACACATTTTTTCTACTAATAATGCTATGTGGATAGAGTGATAGACTCAACACTCAACAACAATTACTGGGATACTACTATTGTTAATTGTTACTTAATACTTATTCTCTGAGTCAATATTTAGGTTTAACTCAACTTCAAAAGTTAACTTTATTTTCCTATACTATTTTAGTTATATTATTAGTTAATATATATCCATAAAATTTGTATGACTAAACATTTATAAGTAATATGATAATGATTCATAATTAATAGGAGAGGCTAATAGACTTCATGACTATCACTAAAATAACTTTTGATATTATCTTCGGATTTGAGTATAACTCGGCTCTAAAATGGGTAGGCTAATAGACAACAACTACTGCCATCTTACAATGTATTTGGAAACTCGTTAAGAATGAATGAATCATGTTTGGGATGTGTCCTACATCGTTTAAATAAGAGAATGGACATATGTTTATATACACACAGTTGTCTCCATTGGTTGAAAGACCTTTTGGGTGATGTCCAAAAGTAAAACCGTGAGAGTTGGGCCCAAAGCGGACAATATCTCACCAATATGGAGACATGTGTATGTGTGTGATAACTCCCGGTACACTCCAATGTGGGAGCTATAACTATTAGCTTCCGTAAATCATTGGTGATGTGAAAAATCACATCCAAAATTTCAAAATGTAGGACCAAACATGTTATTAGAATTTGAGTTTAACTTATCCAAAAGTTCTCATGAAGTGAGAGTTTTCTCCCTACTTATAAATACTATTTTTGGTTATATCAATTAGATATTTGATAGTTATTAGTATTGTCAGTTAATTGATACTTTTGTTAGTCATATTATTATATCTACACATTTCCTTGGGCATTTGTTGAAGTTAGTAAGCATTGATATGATGGTGAACCCGATTCACATTTTGTGCGTGCAGGATACACTGCTCACGTGATGACATTTGAGGTTGGTGCAGTGCTTGAGGATCCACATTGGCAGGCTCCTCTGTATTGTTTTAGTGAGAATGAGAAGGAAAAGAATAGTCCCATTTTAAGACCTGCTGATCGCGGTGGTTCTCTTGGGAGTTTGATGAGAGAGACACCTGTTCGGGAAACTATGTAATTATGACATAGATGATGACAACGGCATATGCACTATCTTCAATAATTTTGGTCCACTTAAGGTGCTCATGTTATTATTGTGTTGGAAGTCATCTGTGATAGTCTTTGAAACTTATGCCTGACCAAGCATTTTTAAATTTTGTTGAATTTGTTCCGTTGTGTGGGAAATGTAGAATGCTTTGCCGCTTTTAACATTTACACTCTAGTAAGAGAAGCTCAATTAGTTGGTCTAATATGGAAGTGGTAGAGAGTCTTGCGCGTAATTTAGAAGGTATCGTTGAAAGTTAATAAATTGAGGAAAGTTGAAAAATTCTTGTTAGAAAATTTTATTTTATGAGAAGTGTTGGTCTTTTATTGGGTTATTTAAACATTGGTTAAATATTATTTTGATATGTCTTGGGATATTGATTTTATATGATCAATGAATATTAAGCATTACATGTTTAATGCCTTTAAAAAGAAAATGGTTAACCTAAAACTAAATAGATTCATGATGGATGAAACTGTTGTAACTTTTCGGGAAAAAAGTATGATTTGAATAGACTGGATTCTTCGTGAAGGGATATAAATGAGCCATTGTATCCTTTATGAAAGGGTAAGTTCCTCCTCACTTTCTCTATAAATATATGTCTTGAAACATAACACAAACTTTTGTCAGATTGCACACTTTCCAATCATGTTTGAGGAAGGAGAAAAAACATTCAAGAGAATTCAAGTGAATTTAAATCAAGTTAAAAGACAATGGAATCAGCAGGTAAATACCATTAAGCTTTATTTTATTTTTGGTGTCCTAATTCATGCAAAAACAATCCAATTTGATACATCATGTGTAGTATATTATAACAATATGCTTGTGATATTAATATTAATAAAGCTTTGTGGAGGATAATATTTTATTCTGACATTCTGTGTGCGATATATATAAAATAAGAGCACTATAGAAAATACACATGTGCTTCTCAGCCAACTACTTATAAAAATTGTATTTAGTTGACAATACTCCAATAACTATAACAAAATCAAAGGAGCTCTTGAAACTACAAAGTCAGAAACATTTTGCAAAGATCAAGATAACTCATGCAAAGAAAAAAGAAGTGCATTGTCACGTCTGCTTCCCTTTAGTTTCTTCTCACTTCTTGAGAGTTATTTATTTATTTATTTTGTATGTATTAATGAAATCTCCTAGTCAACATATTTGAGAAATCTAGCTATTTATCAGTGTCGGATCTTAAGAGTTTTATACTTGTAAATATATTGTTAATAAAGAGTCAAAATTATTGTAATTTACTTTATAAATCATTTAGATATGATCTCTCTGGGAAAGAGAATATGGGGATAATTCTAAGCAGTTTTAAAAAAAATCTAAGTTAATTTATTTTTGTTAGAAATAGAATGTCATTAATCAATAAGTCTTTATAAGAAATTACATTAATGAATAATTTCTTTTAAGTGGAGAAAAAAATGAAACTTGAGAGGTATATTTAAAGGAATTTTGGAAATAATGAACTGTAATTGTTTGAGTAGAGCGAAATGACTTATGTGTAAAAAACAGTAATGCTTTAAGTACCTAACAATTCCATAAATATGCAGAATGTTTTGTTACTCTTAACACTTGTAAGAAAAAGCTCAATTGGTTGGTTTATTATGCATGAGGCAATGTTTGTGTATAGATAAGAAGGTGTTTCCTAAATAACAGAACAGAAAACTACTCCCGGTCCCTTATTTGCTCGTGGATTTGTTCCTGTGGTGCTCGAAACAATGTGGTAGAGTTATGATATGAAAGATCATGATAGATATTATGTGTTGAAGCCGAAGCAAAACCTGCAATCCATGTATAAGAGATTGGGATGATATCAATGACATCATTTATCAGTAACAAAGAATATAATCTGTTACAACCATTTATGTTATTTTGTATAAATTACAAGGGTTGGGTAACAAGTAACAACTATTTTGAGTCATAAAGATCAGTAAGGGGTCTAAACTGCAAGATTGTGATTTCTTTACTTAACTCGTCTTTTGAAAGATTACATTTTTGGCTAAAATACTTGTTCTGAATTGTTTTTATGTAAACCAGTAACAATCCTGAATCCATTTTAGGAACCGTTTTGGTAGGAGCTTCTTTTCAGTTTTCCCTTATATTTTACTACTAATTTTTTATTTCATGAATTGGATTATGATGAGATGGCAAAAATTGAAAACTTTGGGCAATCAAGTATTGTTTATAACATAAATTCTTTCCTCCACATAAAAAAATATGACAATTTGCAGACCACATATACATCCGTACCATTAACATTATTGGCATCCACCAAAAGGAAACATTTCCCATTACACGTCCAGTGTTGGTTTCTTCACATAGCGTGACATTTGGATTAAAGTGATGTTTTTTGCCCACTTATACACAAAGGAAGGTAATACAAGGATTACTGTGATGGGTTTCTTAACATAAAAAAATGAAAATAAAAATTTGATGGGTTTCTTCACTTACCGTGACATTTGGATTAATGTGTGGAGAAGGTTGATTTCATTTTGTGCTACGAGGATGTCCTTGCTTCCTACCTGTTAAGTGGATCTTCTACACAGCTAAACACGCTTATATATAGGTTACTGGCCAGGGAGTTGCAGACAATGCCATATGCTCTATGTTCAATAATTTAGATCCACTTTAATGTGCACATGCTACATTGTGATGGGGATAAGGGAAATAATAGTGTTTTAGTTCTCCATACTTATGGCAAGTGGGAATGATACTGTTTTGTTGCCACAGCTATACCCAAACAAATTTTTTTTTACACACAGCAACATGCCACTAGAAAATGATGCGAAGCTGTAACCTATTTTTTTAGTTAAAATAAAAAAATAAAAACATGGCAGGGGTGTCACTGTATTGACCAGTGACACCTTTGGCTCCCATTAACCTCTTCAAAGTGAGTATTTGTTTCAAAATAACTTCACCTTGTGGTAATATGTTTTAGGTTAAATTATATTTTTAATTCTTCTATTTTTATTAATTTATAATTTTAATTTTTATATTTTAAAATAAAAATATTTAGTCTTCTAATTTTAAAAATATAAAATTTTGATTTTCTCGTCAAATTAACATCTTTCAATAGTTGAATTTTAATATTTCCTTACATTTAAGTAATTTGATGTTTAGTAAACATGACATAAAACAAACTATAAAAATATACAAATAAATTTTTTATTAATAAAATAAATATCAATAACTTGTAAAAATATATATAAAAAAATATTTTGAATATTATGTTTTAATTTTTATCTATATACATCACAAAAATAAAAAAAATAAAAAGAGATTTAAAGTGTAATTTAGTCTTTATTTCGAAAACAACGTCCCAATTTGGTCAAAAAGTGCTTATAAAAAAAAATTTGATCAAAAAGTCGACATATAGTATAATATTGCATTTTTATGCCTATATTTTCAAAAATAAACTTTAAATCCATGAAACAAACACACTCTTAAAGTATGAGAGCATTCTCATGGGATATTGAAAAGTATAACTCAACACATTTGTAACTTCTTTTTTTATTTGAATTACTTAAAATTTTTAAAAATATTCCAAAAAAATATTATAATATAACTGAACACATTTTCTAAATAAACCCAAAAATAACATTTTGATAAAAATATTTCAAGAAATTTGATTCTCAAAAAATACAATTTAATACTTAAAACAAACATCTCAATAATTGAAGGATATTTTTTTTAAGCTCATATACAATTTTATTAAATAAAAAAAAGGTTATTAAGACTCTCTTTTGTTTTTCTTCTTTTTCGATACATGGGATAAGATTCATAATATTTTCAGTTTAAAGTTGAATAAGAATTATTATAAATATAAAGTACATTACCCAAGTTTGTAAATATTCATTTTAAAAAAAAACATATATTTGTAGTAAAAATATAAATTAAAATTTAACATGTTCAAAACTTCTTATTTTAAATAATCTTAAATTCCTAAACTTGAAATAAATAAATAAATAAAAGGTTTCTAGAACCATTTTTTGATGATTTAAAATAGAAAAAAGAATGATAATTTATGACAAATTTTAAAAAATTAAAAAATTTGAAAACCAAAGAGTTAAAATAATTCACTCTTATATGTTAACCACAAAAACTATCTCACACATTTTCCTTTTAAGAAGAACGAATATACTTTATAGGCATTTTCATTTAAAAGAAATAGATTTTTTTTTTAATTTTTAATTTGTATTTACTATATATTTATAAATCAAATTTAATAATTTTAAATTAAATTATTAATGATTAAAAATAATCTTATGTCATAATATAAATTATCTTTTACAAATATAAAATATAATTTATATATTTAAAAAATCTTTATTCATAGAAATTTTAAATTAATCTAATATATATTTATAATTTATTATAAATTTGATTTATATATAGTAAATATTACTATTTAGCGAATAAAATACTAGTTAAAATTAAAAAAGTTGGAAGAAGAACCTAATTAGTAATTGTAGCATATAATAATAATAATAATAATAATAATAATAATGATTTAATTTTATATTTCCATCCTGCGAAGTGCGAAGCACAGCACACGCAGCATAGGAAGCAGGTCTGAATGATTTGGGATTTTGGGTATAGTGAGTGAGTGATGTTTGAACACAACACAACCAAAATGGCTGGAATCAAAATTGGAACCTCTCTTCCTCTGTGTCTCCATGACGAATACTAAGACAGAGACAGAGACAGAGGTATTTCTAATTCAACTCACTCCTTCTTCAATTTCTTCTACTTGCTCCTGCTGGCGCTTCCACACGCACAATATGGGTACGGATTCGGATTCCAACGCCTGGAACCGTGCTCGAGGCTTGGCGGTTAAGACTCTGTTACTCATCGGTGGCGCACTTCTCGTCAAGCGCCTCCGCAAGTCCACCACGCGCTGGGACCACGCGCATTTCGTCTCTAAGTCCCTCTCCGGCCAAAGGGTTACCTTCTCTTCACTTCAATTTCTCACCTTTTTTTTTTCTCTTTTCTCAATTTCTTATTCTTGTTGCTGCTACTGCAGTATTCCAAGGACCAAGCTTCCAGAGACCCTGATAACTATTTCAACATTAGGTATGCCTTGTTTGGTTTCTGTATTTTGTTTATCCTCTTTTTATGGGCAAGAGGGGTTTGTGGAATCGCGACGCTGAGATTTGGTTTTTGCAGAATGCTTACATGCCCCGCAGCGGAGCTAGTCGATGGTTCCAAGGTCTTGTATTTTGAACAGGTCACTCAGCTTTGCTATCACTTTGAGACTCTCAAAGTTACATATTTGTCAGTTAATTTTTTTATTTGTGTTTTAAATATTAGCTCAATTGTGATTTTCTTTCTGCTGCTAGGCTTTTTGGAGGAGTCCACAAAAGCCCTTTCGCCAGGTACACTTTTTGTTTATATTTTCTTTTTCCGTTTCTTCATACTTGAAATGAAATATTGACAGAAGCAAAATGCTTCCGTTAGGTATGTGTTCTGGTGAAAAATGTCTGCATGTTAAGGGTATATTTACTTCTGTTTTTACTTTTAATTGCATAATTACCACCTTGTTTTCAACATGTTTCCTGTTTTCAATGATTTGTACATGACCAGAGGAAACAGGAAACGTTGTTTTCACTAATTCCGGTACAAATCATTGAAAACAAGGTGCTAGTTTTGTTATTAAACGAGAAAATGCTTTCTCAAAGTAAATGCCCCCTAACTTTTATGTTATTGTTTTTAGTTTTACCTGTTGATTTTTTTTCTTTTTTATATAAATCTAATCCTCATTTTCATCATCCAATTTTTTGCAGAGGTTTTTTATGGTGAAACCTTGTCCTAAAGAGTTGAAATGTGATGTTGAGGTATGCATTTATCCACTTTAATGATGCCAATGCCCTTTCCGTTCTGCTAGTACTTTGTTGTATGAAACATGTTCTAATGCTTGTGATAAGTTTTCTCTTTGAAGAGTGGGTAAGTTAGCCGCACCACACTTGCCTAGAGTGCTATGATTTGCATGTATTTACTATGCTGATGCCTCGTCTTTCTGACATCTCCAACTTCGTAAAACAATATTGATGTCTTCTTTAAAAGGAATGTACCATAACTTCTTTAGAATGACATTGAAAAGAATTATGCAAAGCCTTACGAAATGTGGAAAAAAATTCTGAACTGTTTAAAACATACAAGGTTTTTCTGGTTTTACATGCTGGTTTTCTATTTTGGCTATTGTAGATGATTACTCACTTTGGCGTGTATAATTGATCAAACCATTGTCCCACATTACATAGAGACTTGCTCTTGTGCTTTTGCTCTGATTTCTTAAAGTATGATTCCACTTTTGTTTATTTCTTTTTTAGAGGAATAGCATTTTTTTTCTTGTTACAACTTGCAATTAACTGCTATATTTTGTTTAAATCAGAGAATGGATTCTAATTTCTGTTCAATGGCAGTTAAGTACATACGCCATTAGAGACATGGAGGAGTACAAAAATTTCTGCGATAGACCAAGGGATCAGCGTCCACAGCCAGAAGAAGTCATTGGGGTAAGCATTTAGTCATGTTCATAGTTCATATTCTTAGCTTAGAAGCATCTTCTTTTAGACATTTGTTTTTTTTTTTTTTTGGTTAGAGAGAGAGGAGTGGAACAGAAAAGAGAATGATATTGAAAATATAAAGGAGAAAAATCTTAGGATGTTAAAAAGAAATTCTGTGGAAGTAGAACAGAGAAAATAAAGAAAATGAAAAGAACAGATTGGTGAAAATTGAAGATATTTTCAGGATGAAAAAGTGGGGGTGGGGGAAGAGGATGAAAAAAAGGTAAAGATTTTTGAAAACTAATAGTTATAGATAGATTGGTGGATATCCTGATACCCGTAGACATCACATCTGGCAAACAATTATAAAACCATAGCTGAAATCATGTGTTGGGTATTAACATGTCTCAAATTGAATACTACATAATATATTAATGATTAAGGACTGTTTTCACAAAATGCCATAGATGCTGAGAACCTAATTGGCCATCTTTTGAGGTTTATAAAGGCAGTATGGTGAGTTAAATGCATCTTAGTATCAGCTGGCTGCCATTCTTAAATTACGATTGACCAAATGAGCAAAAACATGTTTGTTTGACTGAGGAAATGCAGCTGTCATTTTCGTTCCCCCAATATTTTTTAATCAGGTGATGCTATGATAATTCTGACTTAGGAAAGTAGAATATAGAAGTTTGACTGGCTTCTTGAATCGATTACCCGGTCAGAATTGGGTGTTAAGGAGTTTTCTTTCATGAAATGCAACTAATTAATTACAGAATGAAATATATCCGTGGATTGATTTGTCACTTACACATTTCTGATTATTATTTTATCCCACATTTCTTTTGTTGCTCTGCTGTGTAGGTGTATGTTGTTGTAGCTTTTCTTAGATTATTTCTGTTGACATTTAGATTTTTGGAAGACTTAATTACATCAATGAGTTATCTTTTTGGAAATCCTGGAAAAAATTCTATTTTGATCAACAGTTTCTTAGATAATTGCTTTAACATGTTCTAAATGGGGATTCATGACAAGTTTGACTATTTGAATATCTTAATACCATGTATGATTGAACAATTGTAATACCCTTGTACCGTGGCTTGCAGGATATTGCAGAACATTTGACAACAGTACATCTTAAGCGTTGTCCACGTGGAAAGCGTTGCTTATATGAAGGTTCAACCCCACCTGGTGGATTTCCTAATTCATGGGTAATTTTCCGTACACTCTATTGTCTTGACATCCCCATCCCTGACCTTTTACTAGCATGTATGAGTTGGGTTGAAACATGTGCACTCTTTTTTGTAGCAGAATGGGGCAACCTACTGTACTTCAGAACTTGCAATTATGAAGAACAACGAGATACATACCTGGGATAGGGGTTATGATGACAATGGAAATCAAGTTAGTTTTCTTCATCTCGTTTTATCTATATTCACTAGTTTGATAGATTGCTTTACATTTATAGTTGCAAATATAAATATGAAGTATGTGATAAAAACAAAGGAAAACAGAAGCATTAATTAGTAAATTTCCAATTTGATTGCAGGTTTGGGGACAAAGAGAAGGCCCTTATGAGTTCAAGCCTGCACCAACATCCAGTTTTAATGATATGTTTTCTCCCTTGAATTTCCCCCCTCCACCATCCATGGAGAGAAGAATAGAGGGTTCATTTATTTTGCAAGAATAAAAGCGTTTCATATAACCACAATGTGTAATTGTGCTATTGTAGCTGTCTGTCAATATAATGTCTTCCTCGTTAGTCAGTACTATTTTTGTCAATATTTTGATTTCGGTTATATTTTGATTTCAGTCCATGTTTTAAAAGCAATAGTCAAATAAAGAGCTGATTTCTTAGAGCATGTTTGAATTAGATTTTGTTTAAAGATTATAATAACATGATTCATAGAAGAAGAAAAAATGATGATACTATTGATGTTGGTAATTTAACAGAAAGGAATAAGATACAAGTATAACCATGGGAAAATTGAACTAAATAAGCAAATGACTAGGAATAATATAGAGATCCATTTTTTCTGACATGAAGGGTAATTGAGCCAAACATCGAGCCTAAAATTTGTTGTTCAGATATAAGTATAATCCCGCGAGCACTACAATTCCCACGGCAGCTGCAATTGGAAGTGCTTCCCTGTTTAAATTATATCACACAATGTCAAGACATATTATGTGAGGAAGTTAACATATTTCAGTAGACAAGACAAGAAGTCAAGAACTATGGCTCACCCAATTGCTTCTTCTCTTTTGATTCCGGCTTTTCGCGCCTTTCTAACATCTGTATCATTTGCGTTTCTTGAAACATCTGTAGCGTAGGGCCTAAACCTTCGTTTTGGAGCTCCACAAACTGCAAAACACCATTTTATGGCAATGGTAATGCAATGTACTAGCTTAGTTTAGTGACCCTTATTTCTTTTTTTAGACTAGTAACAGTAATTTGATAGTTTAGTATTTTATATCACATGGAAAGCATAAATTCTGAAGTTCCTGTAGTTTCTCTTATAGTAACATAGGAGTAGGAGGTGAAGTAAAAAGTAATCAGTTACCAGGACAGAAGAACTTATCAGGCAATTTCTCAAAGGGGGTCCTCTCATTATAAATATACCTGCATCATTTTGAACAGAAGCATAAGATTGTTGTATATAATGAACAAGTCATAGACTTCATACATGAATCATCCATTACTGAGAGAAATGTAAATGATAAAGGGTGTGAGGGAAAAGATGAAAGGAAACCCGCAATCACGACAGATATAGGCTTGCTTGGAAGCCACACGCATGGAAATCCTGGGAGCTCCAGAAGTAAGAAGGCGCTGTTTTGGATGAAGTAAGAGATTAAAGGAACCAGAGAAGAAAGATGACTTTAAAGCATAAGGGTTGAACTGTGGTCGCAAGCCAGCATTGTTGGCAATTGAGGCTAATGAAGGTGGGGACCTTGCAGTGCTAAGGGTGATTGTGGGTGGCATGGCCATTTCCCTTTGCTCTTCTTTGCTATGTATCTCAGTTGACAGATACTGAGTTAAGTAGTGAGAATAAAAAGAAAGAGAGAGAGAGAGAGAAGATGATAAGAAAAAGGTTGTGAAACGACCGGTGATTCTGTGAATGTGGAATCGGCTTGTGGCTGAAGCCTACGTGGAAAGCGTGGCATTCATACTCCCCACACAAGTTCTCTCCCACTTTTCATTTTTATCTTATTAGGACAAGGAAATATCCATGTATCAGGCACCAAGTATTAATGCATTTCTGCCATGACCCCACACTTTCCAAACAGAACAAAAAAGGATAGCAAATTAAGGAGTTATACCTTTTTTTTTTTTTTTCATGTCACAACAATTCTTACATGTTAAATGAGAGATTAATCTCACTCGTAATACTGAAAAGTATTACTGGTCTGAAAAGTATTTATATACAATAATTGAATATGTAATTATCATAGTACTACTATAGGAATCCTAAACTATTAAATTAGAGACTAATTTTGCTCGCAGTATTATGACTATTACTAATTAAAGAGTCATCACATACAACAATCAAATGAGATTTTTCATTAAATATTTCCTCCTCGAATACATGTTGGAGAGTTATAATTTATAACAAACAATAAAGATCAACATTAAATATTAATATTGATTTCTAAAATAAAACCTTAATTTTAATTGAAAAATAGTATAAAAATACCTAAATTATTGTACTAAGTTTTATCCCATCATACATTCCAATGTTCTTGAAATAATAACATGGTCCATGAAAGCTCGAAGGGCTTGGTCTTGTATGTATGGTTGAAACCTGTGCAGGCTCTAGGCAGTAAAGAATGTCAGATCATTTCAAATACCTAGTTTATGAATGAACAAATTTTATTTGCAATCAAGCGTCAATTTTTCATTAATTTCCTTCGCAGATTTTTTTTTTTTTATCTATCATAGTTGAACTTGTTACTAAAAGAGTTTATATTAACTCACATCATGCTAAACCTCTTATTCCTTAGCAGATGTGACCCTTAATCTGGAATGCTCACACATACACATACCTCCAAATAAAGGTAATTGAAATGCTTGTATTATTGTTTTTTAAGTAATTGAAAGGCAACAAAGGTGGTTCATTGTATCTGGTCCAATAAGAGAATCAGCACACAAGGTTAAACTGAATTTGTCACATTTGTTAAGCCCACGTCGACCTCTGGCTTTCGGGACCTCTATTATTCAGTCCTCCAACCATTGACCTAAAAAGTTATAGTAAGGTAGGTAGGCTAAAAACCCGTTTTTCTTTTAAATTTTGTTAGGATTAATTTTGAAAGAATTGATTTTAACACACATTTAGTGCGTGTTTGCTTCGGCTTTTGGACGTGAAAATTCACGTTCATGAGAAGCAAAAAAATTATAGCTTCCACTTAAATTTGTTTCAAAACGTGGAAAGAGAGTGAAAAATTACGTTTATAAATTCAAACCAAACACACACTTAAACTCAAACTTGTGTTACGGTGAATGAAATTTGACTAGGAGATGTAACCAAATGTAAAGATTTGTTTAAAATTTTCAATAAAGAAAGAAAAATGAATGAGTTGATTATTTTGAGAATTTTTATTTTTAATTTTACTTTTAATTACAATAATACTGTATTATTTTTCATTTGTTTAACTTTCATTGTTTTTACTTGTGAAAATCTTTAAAAATAGAATCATTTTTTTAAAACAAAGTACCATTTTTATAATTAAAAATAAAAATAGAAAATAAATATAAACACCTTTTTTTTTTATCTAAACTATCCTTAAAGAGACATTGCTTTTTGACTTGGTCTTTTTTTTAGCTTACCAATATTGGTTGACACAAGTAGTAACAATTAGTATATTTTAACCAAATTATCCAAGATTTGAATCATAACCATAAGTTTGAAAGAGATTGTGTTAAGAGTGAAATACCCACTTTATGCACACAAATAGTCTGTGTTAAAAATTAGTCACTTCGTTTACTATTTTCGACGGTGGACACTTTCTACTATCATATTTAAAAATAATAATAAAATCTCTTTATAGCTTAAAAAATAAAATATTTAAAAAACTGGCACGAACAAGTTAAAAACAAAATGTACATTGTAAATGTAGTAATACGAAAGTAATGTCCTATTCATTTTTATTTAATTGAGACTTCACCTTTCCTTTTTCTTAACGCGTGTTATAAAAAAAATTATTACTTAAAAGTTGAAATTTTAAACATTTTCTGTGTTATATAACTGAGGAACAATCTCAACTAAATAGAGCAAAATAGAGTAAGTCAATTAAAGAGAATGGAGAGAAAAATATAACAAATAAATGACACTATCATTTACGTATAGAAAGTTAGGGGATAAAGGGGAATGGAATGGGAATAGTAATATAGTATTATATATGAGCAGTAGTGCAATATTATTAACAAGAGAAAAAAATGGAGAAGACATGAGTATAGAAAGAAAAAAAAGATGAAAAACTCATTTGAAAATTCTTGAAGCACTTGAAAAGTCACTTCAAACAATCCTCTAAAATATGATGAATTTGGATGAGATTATTTTATAAATTTAGTATTTATAGATACCACTAAATAATCCTTCAAAATTCCTCTAATACAACAATCCTTTAAAATTTCTATTTTTTAATATCAATGGATTGTTTTTAAGTTGTAAAAAGTCGCAAATGAATAACAATGAATTTTAATGGACTCTTTAAAAAAAATCTTGAAAATCCAGATTGAATACCACTAAATTATTTTTAAGTGACATAAAATTCTAATCGAATACCAACGGACTTTTTTACTCAAAAAAAAATCTTTTAAAATCCCATGAAATCCTAAATCAATACACTCCTCTTAATGTGGGTTTCCAATTTTTCTTATTAAATATACTAGTTATTTTTATTTAGATTTTAATTATTTTCAATAAAAAAATCTCAAAAAAATGAGATTTTAACAAGTATTTTTTTTTCCTTTTTTATATACATAAGAAATATGGTAAATAGATTATGATACTCCATGACTATCGGATAGGAAGTTAATAATAAATTAGAGATTCTTAGATCCAACACTACTATCTTCTTTTTTCTGGATAGTCGAAGTACAATAATTATCCAATTTGGGCTAAGAGACTCATTAGAGAACTTAATTTCTAATTATAATGTTAATAAATTTTTCTGAAAAATTATATTTACCAAAGAAGATTTTAATAATTTCGAAAGGAATCAAACCCATGTCATAAATAACGCAAGCTCTGACTATTTGTGTCACCCATAGGTAATTAATCTTAATAGTAAAATAAATTGTTTTATATAATACATTCTTACTCTGATCAAATCCGGCACAAATAAATAAACTTTGGCCTTAACTTGTGCCGTGCATTTGGTAGACGGGTAAGACGGTAGATCATAAACGGGTCACATCACAGGACACATGATTAAATTTAAAATCAACCAAATATAAAATTCGAAATTTTACATCAAAGAAAAGCAAGACAAAACGCCAAAATCAATCAACCGTGTTGAAAGTTAAAACCCGTTGCCAGCCATATATCAATGGGACCACCCCACCCTAATCAACCACCAACTAAGCAACAACATATCATCATGCAAACAGTAACATTCCTTTCAAAAGAATCAATATCTTTATAAAGAAATGAAGATTAATTAGGAGGGGAAAAGCATATCAAAGTTTACCAAAATATTAAACCTTATTACTATTATAATCACACGATAGGTACAATCAAATTATTAATCCAATAAGAATAACTACTTATTTTAAAGTTTTAACTACTATCAACAGGAAGATTTAAACAAGAAACCTATAATGTATTGATACCATCATGATTCATGATCTTGATTTTCATTGTTTGCTAGGTCACCAACTCTAGAATGAAGACAAGGACTCCTATAGCAGAGGGAAAAAGCGTATACCATAAGAGCAGTATAGCTGCAAAATGGATATTGAATGATCTAAAGAATGGTCTGAACAAAAAACAATCAAAATTTACAATGTCAACAAAAACTAGCATCTTATATCTCATTTCCAACCCCACTTATGAACACTTGGAAGTATAGACCAAGATATGTAAAGAATCCTAATTGCCTCAGAGAACTGCTATAACTGCTACCATGGTTTAAGGTCCCCCACAGGGCCAGCAGTCCAATTCAAAACCTTCTCCCCTGCTTTCAAGAATACGCTCTTTTCATGCGGCAATTTACGCGCGAGGCCATTTAGAACTTGATGGAAAGCATCTCCCGGCTGTGCCGGTTGCGGGAACAGCATGGCTTGCTTCATGGAAGGGTTAGCAAGCAATCTCTGCTTCCTTAAGATGACTTCTGGTGGAATAGATGTGAGTATTGTATCTAACTGAGGGACATCTTTCTCATCAACAAATACACCTATCTCTTCCCATGGGATTGCATCAGCAAATGGCAGAACAATATCATCTGCAATGATAACTGGGATGCAGCCAAATATCACAGCCTCAACCAGTCTCGGGCTCCAAGGAGCCCACCCAAGTGGACACAAGCAGAACACAGCTCGTTGCATGTCCTCGTAATATGTCGTTGGATGCTCAGTGGAAATGTCAAACAGTGGATTGTTCTTGAAGTTCTCCCACACTGCTGCTCTTGCACCTCTATAAGATACCAAAGTGCAGTCAGTTTGAGCTTTCATTTCAGGATCATTTATTGTTATTTGCTTTGTTATGAAAGCAGCAAGACTTTGAACAAAACTTCATGCATGCTTATACTGCTTGGTTTTTGGTCAGAATATTAGAAAGAATCAATTAGGTCTTGAATGTAGTTAATCTAGTAATGTTTGACTAGTTTCAATAACTAAATACCATAGTTATATAAATTTTAAGACAAAACTTGGGTACAGTACCATATGTATTGTTGGTGTTATTTTTCGATCAGAATTAGAGATTCACTAAATATGCATAATTATATATTAGAGTTTTGCATTAAATATAAATGCATATTATCGAAGTAAAACTATAATTCTGATTAAAGAACAACACCAATAATATCTATGGTACTGTACTTAAGTTTTGTCTTAAATTTTAATGCATAGGATTAAGTTAGTGGTTTTATACAGACATGCTACAAAAGTAAATGAAAATTGAAAACCCTCACATGTTACATGTCCAAATCCCCTCCTTTAAATTTGTGACGTGTAATAAATAAGACCTACCTTGCATAGTAACCACCTTCAGGGTCATTTCCAACATCATAAAACAGTCCTCGGAAGTAAACAAAAATGGATCTGGGAGTCTTATCAGGGATTAGGTGTGCATGCATTTTCTGTGGTGGAGCATACGGAGGAATGGTGATTGAGCCTTCTTTCAAGCACACATGATTCCTCTGTCCAAATGTTTGAACCAAGGTAGCACGCTGTAGCAATGGAAGAATTCCTCTTTCAATCGCTTTCTCTTCCTGTTACAAAATAACATGATAAATATGCATGTTACAATAGTGGAATCCAAGGTGCTTCTCACCAAACACCACACATATTTTGTTCAAGTGCTCAATATAACTAATAGTGATATAAATAACAAAATTAAAATGGTATATTAAATTTCTTACTTGATAATGGAAACATGCCCCAAAGTCATGAGGGGTCACAAAGAAATGATCTGCCCCTTCAGTTCTGTTCCAATAAGGCCAGTTTGAAGAAATTAGCTGTATGGCACTTCTCATCATTCGCGGTGACTTGAAAGGTAAAGGAAGGCCATTCGGTGTCAAGTCACAGGTGGTGTATACAGGGGTATAAAACCAATCAGCTTCTTCAGGATTAAGGGTTCGGACAGGGCTAGATAAGAGAAACCGGTGCATAAAGATCTCAGCAGCAAACATATGAGTTAGGCATCTAGGATCCTTTTGCAGAATTTTCTTATTATATTTGCTTGGAAGTTCATAAACAAAAACCTTCAACCTTCCCACTGGATCATCTTCTAACACATCACCAGCACTACCTACAATTGGTTCAACCACAACATAGTTAGTAGTCTCATTCTTTATCTAACTATAATGTAGTGATTTTGAAAGAAATATAATCACACAGAATTCAGAGACTTGTATTTGACTTTAATTTATCTCCTGAGTTTAATGCAAGTCATTGAGAAATAATAGAGAAGGCCACTTATTAACCGCTTAAATTCCAAGAAATCAGATATGGAGTATATGATTTTGTTTCTGTGTACGTATTATCAGAGTTTTATATAAATACTCCTCTATAACCATACTCCCACTCCAACTGCTTCCTCGGTGAATTTTAATCCAACAGATGCTACTTTCTCACTCTGTAAACCATTACGGTGAATTGATTTTAACTTTTAATGCCATCATAGCATTTAAGGATTTACAGAGTTAGGGAGAAACATCTATATTTAGTGATAGAAAAATGCATATAGAGTACTAGACTTTCTCATAGCGAGCTGCAAGAAAAGGAGTAAGGTATTATACAGTTTGAAGTAATGATTTGTCATTCAGATCTTATTAACCTTGATAAGAATAAGGTACTCTGCAGTTTCAAATTTTAATTTAATCTACATTAAATTATTTTAAACACAAGATTTTCATTTATTTTTTTTGTAATTCTAGCAAAAAAGAGAGGGGAACAGTGGACATGCTTATGTAAACTCAAAAGTCTAGGATAAAACCTCTTACATGATTCAGGAAGTCCCAAAAATTCAAAATGTCAATAACCTTTTGATATATCTGATTAATCAATACCATTTAATTTTTACTTCATTCACCTTTACATTTAAGGATACAGAATGCTCGAAAAATGGCATCACTTCAATGATAATTTAAAATGACAATGGCTCACTCCTCTCTTTTCCGCATCAAGTAACAGAAAACACACCGAAGGCTATAGGCATAACAACCTATTTATCTTCTTGAGTGAGTTTGTGTACCTGAGGAGCAGGAACCTACCTATATGTTTCTAAAATACTCTATACATTCGTTGGAAATCAATCTATTGCAAGCAATATCTTTAATGTTTAATGTGTCCACATCTATGCTTCTTCCAACATCTTAAGCTAGTACTGAACCATAGGAAGTTTGTTACAAATGAAGAGGACCGTGACAGAAACCTCAATATCAAAGTAACGGGTAATTCCTTCTCCTCATACTAGCTAACAAAGTACTGCATTACTAATAAAGGTCAAATTCAGAATCAGGCCAGGGCATGACTTAAATTGAATATAACACAACCCTAAATTGATAAATAGCCTCTTCCAATGTGTTCTTCAAATCCTTGGACCAATTTCAATACACAACTTAATGAACCTGGCCCTAGACCCTCATACAGCACACAAGCAACTGTTCTAGCATTTCTACACAACATAAACAGCTATACATCAGTCCCTGAAATGGATTATGCTACAAAGCACTGGGGTCGTGTGCACCCCCAGAATATCAAACCAGAAAAACTTTAGGACAACAATAAATATAATAGCATCTAAATAGCAGGTTTGGTACCTCTGAATTTCGAAATGGTCACCATAAGAATCTAAGTCACTACAAGCAATGCCCAAGAACCAACATTATGTGATTCAAATACTGAACGGAAAAATAACATCTCCAATAAAAACAAGTCAACAACTTATTAACAATTTTTTTCCAAAAATAAGCCTCTAACCAAAGTAGATCTTAGCTAAATCCACAATCACAACCCCACAAAAGCACACCACTGAAATTCAAAACCATAACACAAAATGGTCAAACCAACATGACAACATCACAATTGAAATCTAAGACCCAAAACTCAACAGAAGAAAACCAAAGCAATCCAATCAAATCAATAGAACTTCGGATACATCGAACTCAGAAGAATCCAATGAAACAAGCTGTGAAAAAAAAAAAAAAATCAAACTTTGAAGAATCCCACCTGAAATTCTCTCAGTAGGTTGATGCCGACCCAACTCCACAGCCCCAGTTGCAAAAACAGAAGCAGCACAAAGAAGGCCAAGGAAACCCACCTTCCAAAAATCCATATTTTTTTTTTCTTTTCCGCGGACCCCAGAAACTCTTTGATCCGAGGAACCTCAACGATGGCTTTAACTGCAAACAAAAAGAGCCGAGATTATAAGGCAAAAGAAGTCAATTGTGGTCAGCAGAAGAAGGTGATGGTTAAAACGTCACAAGGCAAAGTGGTTGTGAGAGATTTCTTAGCAGTGGGGCTTCAATTTTCCCATCATCTGGAAGAAAGGGAAATGGGTTCTTCCAGCAACAATGAGAGAGACAGGTGGGAAAATTATTTGAAAGAGAGTGGATTTGCTTTGAAGAAATAGGGTTTTCCCAAGTGAAAGAAACAATGGAAGATGGATTATTTATTGTTGAATATTGAAGAGGAGACTGCTTTTGACAAAATTTTCTGGTTAAGTCTGGTTTTCTTTATGTGTGGTTTGATGAGAGGTCCATCTCAGAATACCATATGGGCACCAGAAAAATCCAACTACGTCACGTTGCTAAGTTCTTCATTGGTTAAACATTGTTGCTTTTTCTCTGCGTTTTTACCTCTGTCACTGTGTGTTTTGAACCCGTGCCATCGTCTAAGCAGCACCACGTTCTTACCACTTGCTCTGAAATTTTCTACCTCAACCAAATTACATGCTTGAATTCAACCTTCGACTCGATAAGAAGTTTGAGTAAAGCTGAAACTTAAAAAAATAATAACATTATGAGCCGACCGAGAAAAAAAAAAAAACAAATTTTGAAATTCAGACAGAAGAAAAGTAGTTCATGCATTTCCCAGACTACAACCACAATTTCATTTTAATATAAAAAGAAAAGAACAACAATTTTTTTTCCTTTTAAAAACGTGCCTAAATACATTAAGGTAAAATTTACACTAAATTATATTTTTATTTTTTTTATCTTATTTTTATATTTATTTTATTTTTTATTAATTAAAATATTTTTTAATATTTATCTTTTATATTTAAATCAATTTATCCTTTTTAAAATAATAATAACTTTTAATTTTGTGATATAATTTTATATTAATTTTTTATTAATCGAAGACGTGAAGCTTGTGGTATTAAGTTCAATTATATAAAAAATTATAAAATTTAATTGACGGTCCAAATCCTAACAATTCTAAAGATAATGAAAACTGTGCTAAAAATATGTCTCCCTAGAAAATAATAAAATTATATTTTTAAAATTTTCAAATATCTTTTAAGTTTATTTTTATACAATATTCATCATGTTTGTAGTATTTGTTTATTTGAACTTTAGTTGTATTTAATAATTTTTATATAAATAAATTTAATAAGACAAATCTCAAATCATGAATTAGTCAAAAAAATATTTAAAATTGTTTGAAAATTGAAAATAATCATTATTTTAAAGTGATCAAATTAATTTAAATTTAAGAAATAGATAATCAAAATGATCATTTTAAAAGATAAAAAATAAAATAAATTTAATAAATTAAAAATATAATTTAGCATAAAATTTATCATGTGATTGATTGTTGAATAGGTGTGTGAATATTTTTTAAAATTTTCTTGTACAATATTACTTTTTTATAAATAAAAAAGTAAAATAAAATAAATTTAATAAATTTAAAATATAATTTAACCTAAAAATTATCATGTGGTTGATTGTTGAATAGGTGTGTGAATGTTTTTAAAATTTTCTTGTACAATATAAATAATTTATAAATAAAAAAAGTAAGATAACATTTGGTATGTTTTGAATTAGATGATTGTTTTTCATAATTAGATGATTTATAGAAAGAATTCAATTATAATGTATTCACAGGAAATATATTTTAATATTGTCATTTATAAATGGAATATAAGTTATTCCAAGAGTAAAAATTTTTAAAAGTAAGATTACTTTTTTTTAATATTTTTGTATACCCATCCGTTATTTAATTATGTAAATATTTTATAATTTAAATATATTTTTAGTTTTTACAAATATTGTTTAGTCTCATTTTAGTGAATGTAAAAAAATGTCAATTTTAAATTTTTGCCATCTTTTTAAGTCCTAACTCTATGTTGGTTTAGTTCTGACGTAGTTATCAAAATGAAAATTATCAAGATAACAAAATATTTTAAATTAAGATAAGATGTGAAATTTAACTAAGTATTGTGTGACACCCTCTATCCCAACATTAATACACAATAAATATAAACAATAATTTTTTTTTCTTTTTGAGTAAATAAAATATTTCATAGTTAATAATATCTTTCATGAATAAAACAAATGTCTCAAATATCATAAGATAGAAAGTTCGCATTTGTAACTCATAAACCATAAAAAGTCAACATGTAAGTATCAAAACTCAAGAAATCATAAAAAAAATAATAAAGGAAATATAGATTAATTCCAGTAAAGGTGGTAGTATCTCTTAGTTAGGAATTAATTTATAACTTCCAAATCATGTAATAAAAATATAACAAAGATACACGCTTTGGCCTTTCATCAAGAACATTCAAAATTAAAATTCTCAACATACACTTTTCTTGGATTCAATCGCTGCAACTATAGACTTCATCTACGTTATATCTTCGCTAGAAATTACAAAAGAAAAGAAACTAAGGTTTTCAAAACAATAATATTCTAAACTAAGCCTAATTATGCCCCGATGTCACATATCCTATCAAACCATGTCCAACTGAAACCTTAAGCCTCATCACCAATATTCTCATGAAGATGATCACTTGCAACATAATTTAAATATGTACAAGAATAACAAGGGAGTGATAAACATCTCACTCTAATTCAGATGTAGAAATAAAGGTTAGATAGCACACACACAACAAATATAAGTCACATGTAAACAATACACATACACAATCAATATCACATGCACACTCATTTATCATGCAATGATGTTATGGACTCGACTCATAAATACATGCATGTGGCGCCATATAGAAGTTTTACATTTCTCATCATTTCATCACATAGCTTGTTACATCACTGGTATGCAGCCTAAGCGGCACACCTAGAATAAGTCATTTCATCACATAGCTTGTTACATCACTGGTGACCCTAAGGTACACCTTGTTAGCTTGTTACATCACTGGTGATCCTAAGGTACACCTTGTTAGCTGGTTATATCACTGGTGACCCTAAGGTACACCTAAAGTGTCTTAGTACATCTGGTATGCGGCCTAAGCGGCACACCTGGAATAAATCATGTCATCACATCATTTCATCACTGGTATGCGGCCTAAGCGGCACACCTGGAATAAGTTATTTCATCATATAGCTTGTTACATCACTGGTATGCAGCCTAAGCGGCACACCTGGAGTTATATATGTATATGATGCATGTCATACATTCACTATTTCATTAACTCAACATTTCACTTATCATGGAATTTCATTTATTACCTCATAAGGTTCGCACAGGAATTCACAGAGCACTTTAGTTCATATTAAAATTTATCTATTTTCAAAATTAATCACATATTCATTCATCATCTCCAACAAGGAACACAACAGAGTAATCAGAAAGTAAAACATAACACATTCATACTTTTCATGTTCCTAGAAACATGCATCAAGCAAGGGATTGGGGGTCAATCCGACTACCCAACAATTATTCCCACATCCCCAAGCGAGGTTTCTCACTCCCCCCTTACCTCGATAAGTAGGAGCCAAAACTATAGCAGAACCTTGTTAATCTCCTCCTCTGAATTCCCCTTGGTCTTTAGAAGGTTTAGAAGAAGAAGAAGTCAGAAGTGAATAGTATGATTTGAAATCAAGCCTGAGCCTCCTATTTATAGGCATCAGGGGTAGTCGGAACGGCCCATTCTCAAAACCAGAACGGCTCATTCTGGGGTTGATTTTAACACACATTGACCATAATTGGAACGACCCGTTTCTAACTTAGGATTTTAGGCCATTTTATTATTCTAGAACGGCCCGTTCCACTTTTTGCAACGCTCGTTCTGCTTATGGGAACGACCCGTTATAGGCCTAAAAAAATAGAATTTCATATAAAAATTATTTTTTTTATAAATTGTAACGACCTGCGTAGCCGTTCCACAACAAACAACACCACGCAGAATAGAGTATGCATATATAAAAATAAAATATATATACACATAGGTCTAGCCTGGGGCTTAACAAGTCAATATACAAAATATATCAACCCAATAGCTATACAAAGTAGCCTATCAATCAACAAATCAAAATATCATCTCTATCTGCCAGTTGCAGACCTGCTACAGGACTCCAACCTATCCCTGCTCTACTCCCATAAATAGTATGATCATCGCAGTCCAATCCACATGGAAACGGACAAGGGTAAGTTAGTGAAAAGAATCAGCATATATAGGAATTATAAACAGCTACAGCTTATAAGCACATCATTAAGTTCAACAATATGAACATACAACACATCACAGCATACATCTACAGCACAACTTCACAACACGCTACACACATACAGCTCACATCATTTAGCAAAATCAACATCACACAACATATGCGTTGTCACGCATTTCAGCTCGAAGATCTCCTACAACAGCTCAGCCTTACGGCTTACAACAGCTCAGCCTTACGGCCTACAACAACCCAGTCTTACGGCCTACAACAGCTCAGCCTTACGGCCTACAACAGCTCAGCCTTACGGCCTACAATAACTCAGCCTTACGACTTATAATAGCTCAGTCTTACGGCCTACAACAGCTCAGCCCTACGGCCTACAACAGCTCAGCTTTACGGCCTACAACAGTTTATATCAACATTCAGCACAGCTCATCATATCAGCATTAACAGCATACAGCACAACTCAACTTTACATTAATACAACTTAAACATCATATGACATTAACAACTTAAACAACATACAACTCAACTCGGCTCAACAACATCAATCAGCATAAATCAACATATTTATAAAAGAACACATCCACGCCACGCGCAATAAGAGTTGCGCCTGGCGTGGACCAACCAGAGAGCTCCAAGGCTCTTACGCGCCCGGCGTAATTCCAATTACGCCTAGTGTGCTAGGAGGCAGAGACTCTCAAGAGTCTCCCACGCCTAGCGTGCCAAACCTGCGCTTGATGTAAGTAAGGCAGAGATCTCCCCAAGGTCTCACGCCCGGCACAATACCCATTTGCGCCCGGCGCCACCTCTGGCAGAGACTCCCAGGGAGTCTCCACGCCCGACGAGATAAAACCACGCCTGGCGCCATGCCAGAACCCCAAAATACTAAGTCACTATTTGATATCACGCCCAGTGCGGTTCTTCCATGCCCGGTGTGAGCCATCTAGGAGCCTCCATTCCCAAGCTCGCCTGGCGCAACCAGCCTTACGCTCGGCGTGCTTGACCAATGGAACCCTCTAATGGTCACGCGCCCGGCGCACCATCTAGCAGCAACCCTCAAACTTCAAAAATTTCATCCCAACCCTGCAAAAACAAGCATCTCAAGTACATGCAATCCACTCAAAACACCGCATTTTCATCAAACAGCTCAAAAATCACAACTTTATCCACATGCAACCATGGAAACTCAAAATCCCAAATTTTCACCCATTTTCCCCGAAACCCCAAAAACAAAATTTCTTCAAATACAGTCATCAATCTTGAAGAAATCAAACAACAAGTGAGTTTCTAACTCACTCCCAAACAACCAGCACGAAACTAGCTTCCC